AGGCCGAAATATGGGCATTGGTGAGAGCTTTGATATTAAGCCAAGGAAAGAGAGTTAACATATGGACTGACTCCAAATATGCTTTTGGTGTAGTTCATGTTCACGGAGCACTCTGGAAAGAGAGAGGACTTCTTACTTCTCAAGGGACAACGATTAAACATCGGGAAGAAATTTTACAATTGCTAGAGGCAATACACAAGCCCTCAGCAGTGGCAATCATGCATGTTAAAGGACATCAGAGAGATCCCGGACGAGAATTTCGAGGTAATCGACAGGCTGATCAAGCGGCTAAGCAGGCCGCAAGAGAAGTATGGACTCAGATGGTTCTTTTGCCTGTTTGAAATAATCCAGCAATAGCATATATGGAAGAAAAACCACATTATTCACAGGAAGATGAGAAATTAGCTCAAATGACAAATGCAAGGAAAAATGTTAAAGGGTGGTATATTTCCCCCATAGGACAAGTGATTCTACCTGTCAGAATAATGAAAGTAGTGCTTGAAACAGAACACAATAAGTGCCACTGGGGTGCAGAAGCATTGGTAAAATTTTTGAAAAATGAGGTTCTCTCAAACCAGATGTTAATATTGGCAAAAAGGGTAAATGTAATGTGTCCTATGTGCATAAAGAATAACCCAGTAGTCAGGAAGCAGGTGCAGATGGGAAAATTACAGATAGGTCAGTTACCGGGAGATTACTGGCAAGTAGATTTTTCTGAGTTGCCTAAAGCCCAATCCTATAAGTATTTGTTAGTATATGTCTGCACCTTTTCAGGATGGCCTGAGGCTTTTCCCTGTAGGACTAATCAAGCAAAGGAAGTGGTAAAAACTCTCTTGAGGGAAATCATCCCAAGATTTGGAGTTCCCCTAGGGTTGTCCTCTGATCGAGGACCGCACTTTATAGCAGGAATAGTACAAGATGTGTCGGTTGTATTAGGGATAACATGGAATCTCCATACACCATGGAGACCACAGTCTAGTGGACAAGTTGAAAGGATGAATCAGACATTGAAAGGTCAATTGAAGAAAATTTGTCAGGAGGCAAAGATTCCGTGGCCCCAAGCAGTATCCATTGCCTTGTTGAGAATTAGGATCAAACCAAGGGAGAGGATAGGAGTAAGTCCATATGAAATATTATATGGCAAACCTTATCATGCAGCTACCTACCAAGGGGATCCTCATATAGTAGGTGATCAAGCAGTGTTTAATTATGTGTTATCTTTAAATAAGACTCTCACAGCCCTCAGAGGAGCGTTGCAGTGGAATCGACCTTTGCCCCTGGAGAATCCAGTGCACGACATTTCTCCGGGAGATCATGTCTACGTGAGAAACTGGTCGGTGGAGCCGCTGAAAGAAACATGGGACGGTCCTCGCCAGGTGATAATGACGACCTACACGGCAGTAAAGGTCGAAGGAATCGACAGCTGGATCCATTATACTCGGGTCAAGAAGGTTCCAGTTTCGTGGTCGGTAGAACCTCTCTCACCCACAAGAATGGTATTTCGAGCCAACCATTGAGGATCATAGTGTTCCTGAGGTTGATAAGTTTAGCAGAAACCACCGTGAGAATTGAGACCCCGGATCCTTACTTATTTGTACCAGAGCATACTGATGTGAATTTAACCTGTTTATTTTCAGATGACCAGGGAGCTGAATTAAGAGATGTCCATGTCAAGTGGAGATGGAGAGATCAAGACCAAATCATGACAGAAGGAGTGACAACAGTTTGGGATGCTACACAACAAAAAGGTTACACCGTTCTGCAGGTACCCAAAGTGTCCAAAGCTATGGAAGGGACATATATGTGTGTAGTTTGGATTTGGGAAAGTTTTGATTATGGACATATAGAAATACAGACAATAAACACGACTCAGAAGACGGTGACCAAAGTGCGAGTTTTACCCACTAGGAAACAATCAGACATGTGGGATGGTCCTCCTTTAAAAATCAATTGTACCTTCCAATTTGATGATTGTCGAAAATCAGTTAAAGTAAAGTGGTGGAAATTGAATGTGGCAAATCAATCTTGGGAATCACAAAGTCAAGGAGTTAGCTGGTGGTCAAATAGTAAGGGAGGCAAAGGGTGGCTGAATATTTCTAATCCCAGAGTAGGAAAGACAGAAGGTACATTTCTTTGTGTAGTCTCATGTGGAGAAGAAAAAGATCACGGGATAAGGACAGCAGTAGCCGTACCACATCAAGGAATAAGAGTTAGACCAGAACATAGTGTTTATCCGGCCCAGGAAGGAAGAGATCTGATTCTAAGCTGCAAAATTCCAGAAGGACAGTATTTTGAATATGGGTGGTGGTTTAAGGGACAGAACTTGAAAGTTGGAAAAAGACATCAGATTGAGAAGAGAGCAGATACAATAGTTTTGAAAATCAAAGAAATACAAAGAAGAGAAGATGAGGGCCAATATACTTGCTGGATAAGTAGAGATGACTGGTGGGACACTGGAATTACTGTCGTCCACGTAAGGACTGAAAGAATAACCCGACAAGTAAGTAACCTGCAGATTCCAGATAGAGAAGTAGAACAAGAAAACCTAGTTGTAGGCCTAATTCGTGATTTTGGGAAAGTACAGAATGTCACAAAAATCACTGCATGTCTCCCTATGCCTCATGCTGCAGGAGACCCAATCCCATGGGGAATAATTCCAGTACCGGAAATCCCTAGAATGTTTAAGAATACTACATGGAATTGTAGATTTGTAACTAGAACATGGAATGAAATGACAGATGCATGTTTATTGAGAGACAAAATGACTAAAAAACAATGTGAACAGATGCCTGGATATTTTCGCTGGGTAGAAAGTGGGAAAATTGGAAAGTTAGAAGGAAATTGTTTGATCTCAGGTTCAGTAACACACCCATGTTCTAAAGTACAAGTTCAAATAAAACGAGAAAAGCAAGAAGAAGTGTGTCAAAATACTACTAGTTCTACAACCATGGAGGAATGGCAAACAATTTGGGGACCCAGCTTACTAGAGACATATAGTTATATTGGAAAAGTACAGTGGTGCATTCACTGGAAAGGGAAAAAGAATCAAACTTATTCTATAGGAAATAGAGGGAATCATAATTGGAGGACAGAAACACGTACAAAAGAGGATTGGAATTGTACTCGAATATACACATGTGATACCCCAGACGATGAGATAGGTTTAACGCCAGTCAAAACACTCTTGCAGTTGGGATGTGAATGTCGGGGATATAATCATACGATTAAAGGATCTGTGAAAAACATTGATTGCCGTACCACTACAGTTAGGAGCCCAGGAAATTTGGTATGGGTAATGGGACATGGCCAGTGGACTACCCACATGCCCATAGATGGTCCGGTTGTACCTGTCACACTAGGGATACCTACTCTCTGTCCATTCTGGAAGCAAGATAAGTTAACATCAGTAGAAATACAACCACGAAGGAAAAGAGAAGTTAGTAAAGATATTGATGACCTGGGGTTGGGAGATTGGCATGAACCATCAGCAGGAGTTAAATTTGGATGGGCATTAGAGCCTCTATTTGCACCAATCTCAACATACCGGAACAGAGAAATGCTGTTTAAATTAATGGGACAAACTGAAAGGTTAGCAGCAGTCACTAAGAAGGGATTTAAAGATCTAAATTTACAATTACAAGCCACCTCTAGAATGACCATACAAAACCGCATGGCATTAGACCTAATATTACTTAAGGAACATGGAGTTTGCAGCTACCTGCATGCAAAGGACGAGCATTGTTGTGTACACATCCCAAATGTCACTCAAGAAGTAGAGAAAGATATTAGCCAATTAGAACAAATTGACGAGAATGTTCATGAACTGCAAAAAGAAGCAGAACATAATTGGATAGGACAATTATTCAGCTCCCTAGGTCTTCATGTGTCAGGATGGATATCTTCTGTTATCCAGTACGGAATATTAATTGTAATAATTATTGTCATAGCCATAACTGTTTACAAGTGTCTTTTAGGAATGATTGTAAAAGAAGGTCAACATACGAGACGCATCATGAAAGCTATAACAAGAAAAGAAATAATCTCACCGCAAAATGAATCACCTCCTACCTACCAAGAAACTACAGCCTGAAGATTGCTGTATTTGAGCATCCTTGCAAGCAAAGCCTGAAGAATGCTCAAAAGGGGGGACATGTTGCAAAGCAATTTAAATTAGTAGTAGAATGGCTAAGGCTTAGTAGAAGAGTAGGCCTAGAAAGCAACACTCCAAAGTAGCAACCTTGTTTGTGTGTGAAGTGGAAACCATAATCAAAGGATCTAGTCAGGCATGTATGTAACGATTTGTTACCTAGGATGTGGTTAAGGTCTGTTAAACAGTTTCTAGGGATAAGACAACTTAAGCAGATTTATGATTGGAGTAGATGATTATTAATTGTTATCAGTATGAAGTATGAGCTTGTTTGCAACTGCACCTGGTTTGCTGTGGAAACTGTAACTGTTTTGCCGTGGAAACTGCACGTAAACTTGTTTGTGTATAAAAGCTGAACTGAAAATGAGGGTCTTCGGAATCCTGACTTTGGACGCTAGTCCTCAGGTTCCCGGGGCCCCGAATAAAGCACCGCATAAATCGGCACTCTGTTGGTTTGTGTTTCTTTTGGTTACGGGCAACACTTTGAAAAAGTTTTTATGCTATACAGTGTACCTAATCTCTTTTTAGAGGATAAACAACTATTTTCTATTCAAGTTTTGCATAATAAATTTAGTACAAAATTTGCTATCACATATAGTTTTATATACATATGTATGGTTTCTCGCTCTCTATATACAGATCTCTCACATCACAGAATAACTAAAAAGTAGATGAAGTTTGAACATTTACTGTTCAAAGCTGAACACAAAGTAAGTTGGTACGTTTTTATATTCTGACAAGATTAAAGTCCCAGAAGTACTGAAAAGTGCAGCTATGCAGAAGCCAAAGTGATACCTAGTAAGGTGAAATTAAGCATCATTTTTATAAACAGAAAAAATATCTACATTATCACCTGATAATTGACTTTGCAGCAAGAATGCGAACTTGATGGTGACTGTCTGCAAGGAAATGTGGGAAGGCATCATTCACAGGTAGATCTTCATTTCTCACATTAAGGATTGCCCAGTTGCAATAAGGATCGGCCTGAAGAAAATTAATATTGTGATTTAAAATCTACATTAGATGCACTGAAAGATGCAAAAGATCTTTAGACACTATTTTTAATTACATCTTAAGTAAATATTTAGCATGCTAATGAATGTCAGAAAATCTGGGATTACCTCAAGCAGGGCTTTCATGCAGTTTAAAAGGGCCACTCTTACTGATGCAGTGCACTTCCCTCCTTGAGATAAATGCCTAAAATAAGGAAAACTTGAATAAGGGAAAAAGTTGCCCACAATTTTGAAAAACAGCAAGTTAGCTTCTGCTGCTCACAGTTGATTACTTTGTACTCAAAAGGCACGTTTGGGTCGATTTGACATTTTTATTGGTAATTGCAAACTATTCATTTTTGTTTGCTGAAGTTATCGCTTGTAATAATTATTGATGCAACTCAGCATAGAATCAGTCTTTGTTAATTCACAACAGTATAGGGTTTATTGTTTCAATACTATCTTAAGGACAAATCTTTGCTACAGATATAACATGTCAGAAAATCCAGAAAGTTAAATTCTGGATAAAGATATCATAGTATACCAACAGCAAGACACAAACAGCACCACAGTCTTCAGACTGATAGCAAAGTTAAAAATTAAAAATCAAAAATTTTATGTCCAATAGACTTCTTCATTAGATAACATACCAAAAGGCTCCAACAACTGTCAAAAATTGTCCTCTGGCACTCCCTGTCTCTTCAGCATGTGCATCGGACTGGGCCAATCCTACTGCTATAGGGAGCAAATTATTCAGAATTTCTTTACAAACTTCTTGATCTCGACGGTACAAAGAACACACGGTACTGTGAAAAAAAGACAGAAAATCCTGAAACACTGAAAATCCACCAAATCCTCTAAAACAGATGCAAAACACGCTGAAGAGTTTCTCTCTTACGAAAGAGGTTTCAGAAGTATATCTGCATCCATTGCAGGCAAGAGGTGTTCTTCAGTAGGGAGCTCCTTCAAAAGAACCAAGTACTGTGGAATAAAAAAAAAAAATGAAATAAAAAACCCAAACAAAACCAAAATGGAAAACAATACTTTGTAACTGGAAAATAATACTTAAGAAAATAAGTAGACAAAAAGAAAAATTAGGAAACTTTTTTAGTAACTCTTACACAAAGTCATGCAGCAAAGATACCTATTGTCAGCTATTGTGTGTTAGACTGGTCATGTTTTCATGCAAAGACTGTCACACAGTAATATAGATCATGAAATTTTTAGTTCTGGTAGTAAAAATATTTCCTTTGTAAACTAAAACATAGATCCTATTCCACTACAGAGACTGTTTTCAGTTATTTAACAAATAATTAATAATAAAGGCAAGATGTTATACTTCTTAACTCTTTATTTTCTGGCTTAAAAATTCTAACTGCTCTTTCCCTGACCACAGCACATTTCAAAACCACTAGAATTAGCCATTTTAAGTCTTTTCGGGGAACTGACAACAGGAGAAAGACAATATGTAACTGACAAGACTTTACAAATTTAATAACAGTACAATTACAGAGGTCAGTCTGCTGTAAAAAAAGCTCACACTCACCATGTGCAGATGTAATGGCTTAGTGCTATCAAAGACACTGCCATCGGTAAGCATTAACAGCTTCTGCCGTATGTCAGAGGCTCGGAAGCTCACTGTCTGAATTTGGACTGTAGTTACAGAAATACATAGGAACCTCACAATTTCAAGGAGAAGTAAATCCTGCTTTGTCAACTGTTCCTCAGCTAATGGGCTCAAAGCACCTGAAAATAAGATTTCCGTGTAAGAAACGTTTCTCCAAGGACAACAGAAAAGGCAGTAATATTTTAGGTCTTTACAAAACTAGTAAGTTCTCAAACAGATAGAGGACAAGCACCTTTACATTTATTTGTTATTGAGCAGTAGTGCATCAGTAACAGCTAAAGTGTGTTTCCCACTTCTATAAAGGCCCTCTCTAACACAGGTTTTAAATTTATGTGGCCATACACACAGCTGATTTCTCCATCAAGGTTGAAATGGATTCTGTAGAACCATCCACGACTGTGTTCTTTTGTACTGTTAATTATTTCTTAGGATATATTTTAAATTACAGATTCCCCAAAATTGAAATGATGACAATTACTATGTTAATATCCTAATATCCCATGTTAATAACCTAAACAAGATAGTCAGACATGTAATTTTCCTGTCACATTTCGGACTCCTGTAAGTTCCAGCAATTGCTAGTTTTACTTATTAGAATATTATCTGGATAAGATACTTATAAAGACATTTATTCAACATGACAAGAAAACAGACCAGCTACTGTTTGTGACAGTAATATAACACCCAGATTTCCTTCTCAGTCAACAATAAAAAGACATAGTCCTGGTTAAACATTAAGATACACAGCATTTTAACCAAGAATGTAAAACAAAAGAGAGCATCAGTACTTGTAGCTCATAACAGAAATAGACTGATAGATTCATGCTCCTGCCCCTCTGAAGGTCCAGAAATATTAAAAAACTGACCATGTCAAGAATTACTCTTCAGGAAAAGGAGAAAAATTAAACAGCCCTACTTTTAAGAAAATGCAGCACAGTCTAATAAGAGATGGGTATTCTATAAACATTTTTTCTTGTCTCTTCTTTGCCAAAACTTCTGCCTGGCTTTGAAAAAGTTAGCTACCTTCTCTTCTTGCATTTTACTACTTATAAAATAAAAAATAAATTTCTCCTTTCTAAAGAGCTAGAACACTTCATTAACATCTTTAAAACACTGATGAGAATTAATTGCTTAGGAAGTACCTGGTTCAACCATTACCTGTTTCAACTACTAATATAGCATGATTTTGTATCTTGCTATCTTTCAAGCAAAGAGCAATTTGTAAAATCAAGCTTTTGCAAGTAGTTTTGGACGTAGAGAAGACTTACCTGTTACAGTTTGCATATCCCCAGATTCAATTGTATCACTGATGTCAGTCACTGAATGATTATCGAATAGATCATCAGATACCTGGTTATCTACTTCCACTATACTCTCCTCAGGATCATTCCTGAGATCCATTTCTCCCAGTACACTTGGTTTTCCAGTAGCTGTCATCTGACAAAAACACATCCTTTTAAAGTTGGCTTTTAAAGACAGAAGAAACACCGCAGACACAGCACAAGAAGAGACATTACAGTTCCTCAGTAAACTGGAATAGGTGATGACAGTAAGAGCTACATGAAACTGATGAATTTCATCCTTTGGGGTAAACCTGTCATCTACACATATGAACCATCTGAATTATTTTCTTCAGGATATAAGCTTCCTTAGACAGATACTAATCTCTGTGTTAGTTTTTTTAAAACAGTTCTCTCTACAAGACCCACAAACTTCTCATCATGTTTCATTATTACAGAGAAATGAAAAGGCATGTGACTTTTTTGGGGACACACTAATTACTACTTTCCCTACCAGATGACAAGTTAACAGAAGGTAAAACTCTCAGCTCTTCCTCATCTACAAAAACAAAGGAATTTGCCCATCTGGACCTGACTACAAGAAATGTGCCAAAAAGAGAAGTTTTAAGTGAAGTGCCACACTACTACTTTTCCCAGTGAGCCATTTACAGTTAAATAGTCACACAATAAACACCAAAAAAAAAAAACCTTCAAAAGTGCATTAAAGTTAAACATCATGTGTTATAGAATTTTTTGTATATACTTCTACTGTAATGAAGTATTAAAAAAATGAAAAATAGCATAATTTTGTTTTTTAATGTGAACTAGAATGCTAACCTTAATCACATGTTATCCATCTGCTCTCTTTTTTTCCCTAAGCTGTGTTCCATTGCTAAAGAAAAGCATTCCCAATTAGGGATTCTCTATAAAACTCAATGTATTTTGATTTTTTTCAATAACAGGTATCTTGTTTGGTTTGCCTCCAAATTACTGTGCTGTAAAAACAATCCTCTCATAGAAGAACACCGTATTTAGAAATAGACAGAATGTACTTACGAGATTTTTGCAAATATCTATGAGATCGTTCATAAATTTTGATGTTAACAAGCGTAGGAATATATTAGACAATATCTTATTAGCA